CCTAAACCCTAAACACTAAATCTAGAAGGACCGGGTAGCCGGCCACGGCGGTCTTTCTGCGGAGGCCAGGAGTGGTTGAAAGATATCATCCGTCCTTTGCAGGTCTTGGGGAGGCCCGCGTTAGGTTTAGGGGCTTAGGGCTTTAGGGGTTTAGGGGCTTAGAGGTTTAGGGGCTTAGAGGTTTAGGGGTGAGGGTTTAGGATTTAGGGGGTACACACTGGGAAATATTCAAAGAACTCCTTGGGAGCCATGATCCAAGTATATAGGGCTGATATACCCACCTAGACACATAAACCACGTCTCTACATGACAGCCTCCGTCCTGCCTTCGGCCAGTGGGCTTGAGGGTTTTGGAGTGTGCTCTGTGAACGGTTCTGGAGATTTTGGGATTGAAGGTTTTGGGTTCAGAGTTTCGGGTTGATAGTGCTGGGGACTGAGTGCTTAGGGCTGTGCTCTGTGAGGGGTTTGGTTCTGGAGATTTTGGGATTGGGGGTTTTGGCTTTAGAGTTTCGGGTTGAGAGTGCTGGGGATTGAGTGCTTAGGGCTGAGAACTCTGTTTTTTGTGGTACATCCGTGTCTGAGGCGAATCACTTCCAACCCTAAGCATCTAGATAGAATATGGGGCATATAGGGATCTTATAACTATATGCCACCAGCTTTGAGAGACACCAAGACCCCCAGTGATTCTTTGCGTAACCATCTGCCGAAGCAAAGAAACGGCGCGACACTTAGGTTCACCGAAGTCCTGTACTGCCATAATTTTCTGGTTCTCAGCAGGGAATAGAATATGTAGGGACGACATAGGGATTATATTCCCCCTTCTGCACTACTGAGACCCAGTAAGATACATGCTAGAAGGCATGCGCTCGTGCATGATTTGCTGCATCTGCCCATAGTATGCTCACTTGCAACACCGCACCCCATGGATTGCTAGGGTCTTTTTTCTTAAGCCGCATACAGCATGAACTCACATACTCCGTACTGCCTGCACCCTACATGCTCAAACAAGTATCTGCCGCAGGCCCACCGTGGACGTCTCTTGCCAACAGCACCTCAGGGTCAGAGTGGGGTAAACTTCCAACAAACTGAAGTGGAAAAATGGCCCCCACAAAGAGTGATCCTTTCATACTAACCTTAAATGGCCGCCGACCGTTAATACTAATTACATGCTTGCAATGAAAGACCTCATACAGCAGGGGACATAATTAGTATTCCGGAAAAGGTCTTTAAACGCTCACCCCTAGAGAGTACATGATCTAGCAGGCAACACCTAGCCCGCGTGAAGGGCATTTTGAAGCAGCCGTTGTGAGACCCG